ATAATGATAATTATTATTATTATGAAATTATTTATTTCATTGCGTAAATTATTTGCGTGTGACAGTGTTGGAAATGCCAGCCGGTCCTTTCCTGAGTCGTGGACAGTGATTTTTGAGTGGGATTGGCTACTTTTTTATGGATTTAACTGTAGGTCAAATAGTTGAAATCGGGACCGACTGGGATTTTAGATTTATATCGCCAAGATAGTATATAAACCTAATATATAAATAGTTTATATCTATATATCTATATATATATATAGTACAGGAATTACGGAAGCATCATGAATGGCGAATTTGGGAGTGGAGGGGTCTGGTAATTGGTGGCACATAGCCTATTGCAGAATTTCTTTTACCGAAATACAATTAAAACCCGATGAATTCCAACTATAAATCGTAAGCCATCTACTAGATTTTAGAAATCGACGGAAGTTTTTACCGGCCTGCAGGGCTGCCTTGACGAAGGAGGCGTCCCAGTGCCAGGTGCTGCCATCTTCTGAGCATGTGAACAAGTTATCGGGATGCGTCGGATGAAACTTCACTTCCCAGACTGAAATGTCGCCGAGGATAGAGACATGATTATCTGTACCACTATAGACCACTTCACCTATTTGCTTCTTCACGATCATAGCATGGTTTACACACAGTAAGTAGTATAAAAGTAAAACCGAATCGCTCGCTACCCTGGGGTCTTGGCTAGGAATAGCACGTGTATAGCTGGTGAGAGGGATGTGACTGTCTTCTATCCATCCCGGAATCTCTACCCGTAGATTGAGTCCGAGTGGATGGATAGTGTTTAGATTGTAAATCCAGTACGCTTCTCTTTCCGATGCGGATCGCATGTGGTTGGTCGGGGGAGGGGGAGTTGAGAATATTTGCAATCGGATTCACGTTGGGTAACCAGCACAGTAGAGCTGTGTCCCATAGAGGCTGTCCAGGCCTCTTCACACATGTTCATGCTTTACACACAGTGTTTTGCGGTTAAATACTGAGGACTGTAGCAACTACGTACGTATACCACGGTGACATATTATATATCACGCAATTCCGAGCGAAAAATCGCCCCGCGAATTTCGCCTCGCGTAAAGAAATATGACGCCCCAGGAACGACGATTAGTTCCGCTCACTGTCACTAGAGTGCGCCGAGAGCAGGGTCGGCGAGCGCTCCTGCCTCAGGTCCCAGACGTAGAGCATCCCGTGCTGCCCTCCGGTGGCGATGACGTGCGGCTGCGTGGGATGTCGGTCGATGCAGTTGAGTGGCAGTCGCTCTCCGGTCCTGCAACGGAAATCGATCAATCGATCGGTCGGCGGTCTTCCGGATTTCTTCCGGATCTTTCCCCGGTGAGTCCCAAAACAGTTAGGACGCGAAACGTTAGCAGTACGTTTGAACTTCACGGTTGAGTAGAAATCAACAAAGTTGAGCTATCTCCATTATCAACCAACCCAATTAACTTATTTAAGGAAAAATAAGCAAAGGTGTAAAAATAGCTCACATGTGTAGGTTGCGTGTGGCTCCATCTCCTGGCTGGCGGAGGTCCCAGGTGCGCAGCTGCCCCGTCGAGTTGGTCGCGGCGATCTCGTTCTGACGCGTGTACGCGACGGCGTTGATCGCACAACTGTCAGCTTCGTCTGTCAAGGAGGCGGTCAATCGATTGATTAATCGATTGATTGATTGATTAGCACTCGATTGATCGTTTGACAATCACTCGCGTTTAATCGTTTCACGTTTGTAGTCGTTTAATCGATTAATAATCGCACTCGCTTGATCATACGCTACTGCTGATGCTACTGCTGCTGCTACTGCTACTGCTGCTGCTGCTGCTGCTGCTGCTGCTGCTGCTACTGCTACTAC